CCCCCTCCCTTGGCTTGCTACGCCTTGCCTTGCCACGCCACGCGCCGCCCAGCCCCGCTCACTTGCCGTTTCGTTTCGCGAGTGCATGCTTAGGCCCGGCCAGGCGGCTGCACCACACCCATCAAGCAACCGGTTCCCTCCAGGCCGGCGACCCAGTGCCAAGTGCTGTAAGAATAGAGATCCGTTTGAGGACACGTTCTGTAACGATAAACTTACGCTTTAAACGAGGATTGGCCGAACAACTTTTATTGAAACACTTGTGTTGAAACAGTTGGCGCAGCGCAGACCCATGTGTCTTTTTTGTGCGCACAACACTGTTCTTTGGTACATACAAAGAAAAACGAACGAAAAGCAAACACAACTGATCCATCCTATTTAGAATGCAAAGTGATCATTTGCGGCCACGACAAAGTTCATCGTTTGCCAAACTTTTCAACATGTGGAGGTGCATGGGACCACCCGTTCCTCTCGCATGCTACGCAATCGCTCTGCCATCCTAACAACTATTTCCCGAGATTCTTACAACTAAACAGCCAAATTGAAACGCAGGCCGAAAATTCTTCACCAGTCTCTCCGCTCCGCTGATTAGTGGGATCAAAATGGGGGAGGGGGAGGGGGGCGCTCTCGACAGCGCCGCTGTAAATCCTCGAAGAACTGAAAGATTATATGCCGACCTTTTTTGTTTTTAGGGGGTGGGGTCTTTTCGAGGTCAGACGGGACGGGCGTATGATCATTTACGACGCCGAGCGGACTTCTGTCTACAGGATAAAGCTCCTGTGGCCGAGTCAGTTGTAGCTACAGGGACGTCCCGCCATGCCACGCCTAATGGGTGCGATAGGGAATGCCAAGCGGCTTCGGCGGCTCCGGCGGCTTCTTCTCGCCATCGCCACTCTAAGGGGGGAGGGGGTAAAAGCGCGTTCGACGGACGACCTCGTTTCGGTGTCGTCTGTCGGATAGCCGTCGATTTTAGGCCAGATTTTTGAGTCGCTGACAACGTGAAAACCGACGTCGAAACGAAATCGACGGAAAAATTTTCTCACTGGGGTCTTGTACTCAAAGGTGACCAATAGGCAGTGGTTCTCACTGTAACTTACTGATTTGTTACGTAGACCTATAACACTGCTTGGCCCGTCACAAAGCACACCGCATGTGTCTATATTTCTCATTTCAATTTAAAAAAGCATTCTTTTTTCCGAATTTTTCATTTGATGAAACGGGCTTTTCGCGGCCGGGGTCAAACTGGCATTGGGGTTTCACTGCTGAGTTGTTGGCAACTGTAGGTAACCATCAGTCAGTTGTCAGTTGTCTCCGCGCCACGGGTCCGTACGTCCGTACCGGGAAAGTTTTATACATGGCGATGACGATGGCAGTTCAACAGGTAAAAAGCTGTGAAACTAACAAGAAATTAATTTAAAAAGAACAATTTCGTGAAAAAGCTATTTCAGATTAAGGAGAACGGCGACATGCTTGTCTGCTGAAAGTATTTAACCAGCAGTGAAAGCCTTGTCAAACTTTCACGTATACACGACTTTAAACCCTGCAACTTTATTTCAAATCTAACGATGACTTTATCTTGTCTTCTGTATTTTAGAGTACTCCACCCTTAAAATTTATTAATCCTACAACTGAAGCAACATCGATGCTTTTTGTTAAAAAACTGACGGGCATTATAATGAGCACTATAGCATACAATCGCAACCTGTTTGAAGAAAATGACTTTTGTGCTAGATCGTTTGAAGGCATTACGGTCAAAATCGTCGAGGGACAGTCAAGTCCAGGTGCTATTGCTTTAGCTAAATGGCTATCAGGGGCTTTCCATGCTTTCGATCAAAAATATGTAAGTCACTCATCAATATTTGCAATTCAGCATTATGTAACTCGAGCTTGCAGACTTTATTTCCCCTGAGGGTTGCTTACAGCTAGAATCTATAACCTTAGAAATTAAAGATGGCATGGAGCAGATAATCGAATCATATACTCTTGGGTATTCATATTTAAACAATGAAGTTCAGTGCCACCTTGCTGGAGCAGTGGATGCTGGCGGAATGTAAGTTGTTGTTAATACATTCATTACAATTCAGCAAATGTCTACCCAGAAACTAAATGAAGTCTATCTGCTTTAAAGATTAGAGGACAACAATTTGAACGAGTCAATTCGAAATGTCATTAGAAATGTTCTGACACTAACACAAACAAATGCTCCTCTTCCAGAGGATGCCTCTACCACAGTTAAAATTTCTTACAGGCAAGGTAAGTTGATTTTCCATATCCAGTCTTTATTTGGTCATTTCAAGTAAGAAAATAATGGTTGAGGGTTTGTTTGTTTGTTTCAATAGATACCCCTGTAGATTATGAACCTCCTGGATTTCAGCCATACACGATACGTAGTCCTGTGGAAGGCAATAGGGTATATAAATTTAACTGTGGTGCAGTAACTACTCATTTCCACAGACTTGACTTAAAAGGAAAGTTTTATGAAAGACCAGAGGAAATAATTTCATGTTTGTGTGGGAAAGACGATCATAATGCCACCCTGCTCAAATGTAAGCTGTGTGGCTCTCTTCAGCATTCTGTAAGTTTTATTTTTACATTTTGTTCAACTCGTGTATTGGCACATGTCAATGTAAATTTATTCTCACTTATCTAAAATTTTATTTTTTATGTTGTCAGGCTTGTTTAAAAATTTTCCTGATAAAAAAGGATATGTCTCAGAGTTATCACACCTGCTTGAAATGTTCAAGAAGTGGAGTGACCCCTGAGTATTCACCTGTAAGTTATATCACAATTCTAAGTAATAATGTTATATGCAGTTGGAAATAACTGAAATCAGCTGCATCACTCATTTTTTTCTGTGTGTGTTTTCTTAGGAAGAATGTCTCTTTCGTAGAGCAATTGTTCTTTGTGCAATTTCCAAGTCTTTGTCTGTGAGCATATTGAAGAAAAAGCTTATGCTGGATGAAAACACAGCCTTTTTTAATATGAGACGTCTGATGCGTGAAGGAGCACTATGGAAGGGTACACAACCCCTTACACTTGAAAATCTTGAGTGAGTCTGCCTCTAGGTACAAGTTAAGCATTCTGCTGAGTGCTTGATTTTTATTTGAAAAGAACATCTCTTTCTGTTTCCAGTTTTCCATACAATGTCCACAAAATGAAAGTAATGAATAAATTGAAACAGGATTATTTTGACAATTGAAGATGAATGTGTTACTGTTTTCATATCATAAATCTGTGTTTGTTTTTGTGTTGTTGTTTTTTTTAAAATAAATAACTTTCATTGCTCATGTTCTCTTTACTTTTCTTAGACCATTAAGAAGATAAGAAGATAATTTCTTCAAGATATTTATATGGCTAGAAAAACTATTACAGCCTTAAAAAGAGGGACTTTAGGGTAGGTTCTCAAAGACATGTAAATTCTACATGGTTGTTGTGGGTTCTCCACGAATGAACGAAGCAGTACTCATGTGTTGATCCTCTCTTCACTCATGTCAGCATAGAGAGAGAGAGAAGAGCTGTTGAAGTTACAATTGGTGTAGGTAACTCCTTCAATCTCAGGTCATTAATTATT